TTTGGTAGAGACGGGGTTCTCACTATGTTGCCCAGGCTGGTCTTGAACTCCTGGGCTCAAGAGATCCTCCCGCCGCAGCCTCCCAAAACGCTTGGATTACAGGCACAGCCACCGCGCCCAGCTGCTTCTCCTTGATGGACTGATCAACACCAGTAAGGCAGCGCACGTCCCTATTACTCACGCCTTCGTCGGACTCCTGGAGAATATTCATCCTGTGTTCCAGAGGCATGACGCTCCGCCTCCTCTTGACAGGTGTCTGGCCCAGGATCCAGATTCCCCTCCAGGCCTCCGCTCCTCTTGGGGCGGCCTCGGCTGCGGCCGTAGTCGCAGTGGCCTCCATAACGGCCGCGATCGCCGTCGCCTAGAGCCTGGTTTTGGAGCCGCGAAGCCGCCGACGAGGCCGTTTACCTTCCGGTGAGTCCCCATACTCGCCGCTGCTCTGGCAGGGACAGGGCTTTGCCCTCCGCGTAAACACGTAAGCCGACTGGAAAACTGGCCTCGGCAATCCACTGAGCAGCACCCCAGATGACGCCACACTGAGGAAGCCGCGGCCACTGGCTACAGTTGACAAGGCCCTAACGGACACTTATCGCGAGGCTTGGCAGCCCTGTAGCAATCTCAGGGACAGGGATGGTGTGATCAGCAGATCTCGCGAGGCTCAGGGAAGCATCGCGGGAACTAGGCTGTCTAGCCAACCCCGGCGTTGGGGGGCAAGATGGCGGCGCAGGCTTTGACGCTGCTGAGGGAGGTGGCGAGGCTGGAAGCGCCGCTGGAGGAGCTGCGCGCTCTTCACTCTGTGCTGCAGGCCGTGCCGCTCAATGAGCTTCGCGAGCAAGCGGCGGAGCTGCGCCTCGGCCCGCTTTTCTCTCTGCTCAACGAGAACCATAGGTGAGAGGACCCCGGGGGCTTGAGCCGAGGAGAGAGGCACTCCTAAATACGGACACGAAAGTGGTTAGAGGCAAGAACAGCGCTTTTCCCAGTCACAGGGGAGGTGGAAAGTAACCGAAATTTGCAGAGAAGGAAGGATCCTGGGTTCAGAGGCAAGAGACGAGGTTCATATTCAGCCTGAGAGAGTACCCAGGGTCAGTTTTCTCCCGTTTTCTTGAAACAGGAGTTAAAGGAGGAAAGCAAAGTTGTCCACTTAAAAGGAGCATTCCACATCCTTTTGTACATGTTCTTGATTTGTTTCCTCTTCCAAAAGGATCCTATCCTGCCAATGTGGCAAGAACCGTCAGCACTTTAAATTCACATGCCTTTTCATCCAGTCATTCTTGTTACGAAAATTCAATATAGGTATACGCGCACAAAATGTGGAGTTATTTTGTCCTTTCGAACCCGAGGCTGAAATTGCTCCAAAAGCAGAGGCAGGAGAGTTCCCACAAGGGAGTGCTTCAGGCCTTCCCGAGATGTGACTGGTTGAAATGCCCGAGAAAGAATCACTGAATGCCAAGGCAATCAGTCCAAAAGCGTTTAGGGGGAAACACAGAGGGCTGCAGAAATTGTCGAGACGGACACTGGGAGAAAAGAGGTGTTCCTGGGTTTGTCCGCCGCGAAGGGGGTCAGGGTCAGTTCAGATGAGAGTTTAAAGGAATTTGGCTCAGGGTTGAGGTCAGCCTCTTTCAGTGTTTTGGGCAACAACCTAGATATCTTTATCGGGCCTGGGAATGTTCAAGGCCCAGGTTTATGGTCAAGCGTGCTAGGGAAACTTGCCGCTGGCTAGGTCAGAGAGCAATCAAGGCACTCTGATTTTCATCAGGACATAGAAATAATATTTATAGCATATCATATGTGACACCAAAACACTAGAAACAATCTAAATATCCGTTAACAGGGGATTCCAAATTATGCACTATTACTCTGTAACACTATGCAGTTATTTAAGATACTGAGGTAGATGTATGTATATGTATGTGGACATGAAAAGACCTCTGTGTTGTTGAATGAAAAAGAAAATTGCAGGATTTATGAATCTGTAATTTTAATCTGTAATTTTTAAAAATGATTACAATCCTCCCAAACCCCACAGGCTTCTATAACTTGTATACACAACACTGGAAATATCTGCAAAGGTACACCAGAAACTATTGATAAGGAAATGGGGCTGAAAATAGTAGGACAACTTTTACTTTTGATATTTTACACATCAGAAGTGTTTGATTAAAAAACACTTTGTAGCCGGGCACAATGGCTCACGCCTGTAATCCCAGCACTTTGGGAGGCCGAGGCGGGTGGATCACCTGAGGTCAGGAGACCAGCCTGACCAACACGGAGAAACTCCGTCTCTACTAAAAATACAAAATTAGCTGGGTGTGGTGGTGCAGGCCTGTAATCCCAGCTACTAGGGAGGCTGAGGCAGGAGAATCACTTGAACCCAGGAGGCAGAGGTTGGGGTGAGCCGAGATCATGCCATTGCACTCCAGCCTGGGCAACAAGAGTGAAACTCCGCTTCAAAAAAAAAAAACTTTATAGACCAGGAGCAGTGGGTCACGTGTGTAATCCTAACAATTTGGGAGGTTGAGGCTGAGCTTGAGCTCAGGAGTTCAAGACCAGCTTGAGCAACATAGTGAAACCTCGTCTCTACAAAACAAAACAAAAAATTAATTGGGTGTTGCCTGTAGTCCGGCTACTTTGAGGGCTGAGGCGAGAGGATGGAGGATCGCTTGAGCCCGGGAGGTGGAGGTTGCAGTGAGCAGAGATTGCCCACTGCACTCCAGCCTGGGCGACAGATTGAGGCCCTGCCTGTCTTTTTTTTTTTTGAGATGGAATCAGGCTCTGTCGCCCAGGCTGGAGTACAGTGGCGGGATCTAAGCTCACTGCAACCTGTGCCTCCCAGGTTCAAGTGATTCTCCTGCTCACTCAGCTTCCCAAGTAGCTGGGACTATAGTAGCTGGACCACCACCACACCCAGCTAATTTTTTAGTAGAGACAGGGTTTTACCATGTTGGCCAAGGCTGGTTTCGAACTCCTGACCTCAAGTTATCTGCCTGCCTTGGCCTCCCAAAGTGCTGGGATTACAGGCATGAGCTACTGTGCCCAGCAGAGACTGTCTTTTAAAAAAAAAAAAAAAGAAAGAAAGAAAGAAAAAACATTTTATAATTCTGTCTTACCTGGATTCTGGGTGAACAAAAGGAGAAAAACCCCACTTCGTATTAGATAATTTGATCATTTAAAAGAGTTTTGAGCCGGGCGCGGTGGCTCAAGCCTGTAATCCCAGCACTTTGGGAGGCCGAGGCGGGTGGAGCACGAGGTCAAGAGATCGAGACCATCCTGGTCAACATGGTGAAACCCCGTCTCTACTAAAAATACAAAAAATTAGCTGGGCATGGTGGTGCATGCCTGTAATCCCAGCTACTCAGGAGGCTGAGGCAGGAGAATTGCCTGAACCCAGGAGGCGGAGGTTGCGGTGAGCCGAGATTGCGCCATTGCACTCCAGCCTGGGTAACATGAGTGAAACTCCGTCTCAAAGAAAAAAATAAATAAATAAATAAATAAATAAAAAATAAAAGAGTTTTGAAATGTTTGTGATCCAAAGACTTTAAAGTGACCTTACTACTTGAAAAGATTATGAACCACTGAGTCAACACTGGCTATCAGAGGGCTTTCTTGGCTATGACCATCTTAAGATTCCTTCCTTTTTTGTAAGTGTTCTCCAATCATGAAGTCTATCAGTTAACATTTTTCAAGTCTGCCTATGAAATATCTTATTTGTCCCCTCTTTAATCCAAGCCCTCATTTTTTCCCTCTTTCTAGGTCTGTAGTATTAATCTGACTTCTCATTACCTCTGAAATTCCTTTTCTAGCAAGTCCTTCCCACCCTGTAACCCTAGTGAGCATACATCTCAGGTCAGTTGGTGCTAATCTTTTCCATGGTTTCTCATTGCCTATAGTGAGTTTATAGAGTGCCATTTGGGCCCTTTACGGTATATTTCCATCCTACTTTTCCCACCTCACCTTTTTCCTCCACTCCACTTCTTTTCATCTGCTCCAGCTACCATGTGGCACCCTTATTTTTCCTTAAGCGTCACTTGCACTTTCCTAACTTTACTCATACCACCCTTCTAACTGAAATACTTTGCTGTTTATCCTGTCCATCCTTTTAGGCCCACTAAAGAGCCATCCCCTCCAAAATATTTTTCTTAATTATTCTAGTTGCAAATGACTGTGCCTCAGGTCTGCTAAAGGACATTATTGTTATTTCTGTAAATGATACTTGACACTATTACCTATGTTGTAGTTCTCTGTGTGTCTATTTCTAGTTTGTAAATTCTTTGAAGGCAGTGACTGCATTTTTTTCATCTCTGCATCCCTCTTAGGGCAATGCAGTATATACACAATGAAAGATGAGACTCACAGAGTTTAGAGTGACCACCTAGTCCAACCTCTTCATTTTAGAGATGAAGAGACTTTCAAAGATCATACCACAAGTTGGTAACAGAGAAGCAGTAGGAACTGAAGTGAGGGAGAGTTTGAGGATTAAGGCCCATGAGAAGATAGTTTGCTAAATGAAGGAGCAGTGCTTTAGGGAACAATTTTAATGGAAATTTAAAGACAGAGTAATTCAGAACTGGATGCATAGTAGATACCAATTGCAATTTGTGGGAATAATTCTCTGCATAGTATCTGGCAGTCTCCAGATACATTGCTGTTATCCTGACTAAACCACATAGGTTGCTGTGTATTGGTTCACAATCTGATCTTCTAGATGTAAAGTAAAATCTTGACAGTTTTTTTTTTTTTTGAGAGAGTTTAAATCCTAAGATTACTGCTTTAGAATATGAAAATCAAACAAGACTAATTTTAAGCATTAACTCTTTGGCTTTTGGCACAGAAGGGTCATAT